GGGGTTAACATCAGGGATAATAAAGAAGAGACTATCCCACTAAAGGGTAAAGGAGATAAAAAATAAAAAATAGGATAGGGAAGGATTGGTCACTCAGGAGATCAGTGGATCAAGAAGACTAGTGTAGGAGTTTGGATTGGAGTATCCCTTACAAAGCAGGAGTAAGGATAGGACTACACAGACTAGCCCATGAAGCATGGGCTGAGCTCTCCTGGCAACTTCTGGGGAAACATGTGACAAAATAGACAGAATAGACACTTGGGGATGATGCAATCTCTGGGAGAGTCCTTTTCTCACTTGCCCATCATCCCAAACACCATGGCTATAGCAGAACGGGGGATGTATCAAAGTTCTACCTCTCTGAGAGGTAATCTCACCATATATTGCTGCCCTTTCAGGCAGTAGGCAGATCTGAGACACTGAACAAATAACCCTAGGCACAATCGATTAGTTTGGATTATGGAAATACAATCTACAGGAAAGCAGGCTGTGTTGAATCAGTGATATCATTGTAGAGTTAAGCCAGAAGAGGCATTCATGGTGCCTTCCAGTGTCTTTCACTGTTCAGCTGCCTGGGCTCTCATCCCATAGAGATGAACATGACCAGGGCTAAGAGGTATTGGATTCCAATTTGGTTTAATCACACTGAATATCTTAATATCTTATCCCAGCCTGAGTTTTTATCATCATTAAGGGCAATGAAGTGTCTGACTGATCCCTAAATTGAGTCTCATACTTGCATATGTCTATGTGCTTACCAGATTCCAAAATTCAGGAGACTGTGTGTGCCAAAGGTTAGTTCTCACCACAGTCCCAAGACCTGCTGAAGAAACAACTTAAAAAGCAGTTGAATTGCCACATCATACAATGGGTTCAAGGGCATTCCCCCAGTTAAAGTCTTATGTCAACAGTTCTCAAACTTTTTGGTCATAAGACCCATTTATACTAATAAAAATTATTGAGTACACCAAAGAGCTTGTGTTTACAGTGGCTCTATTTATCAATATTTACTGTATTATAAATGAGAATTGGTAAAAATTTTTAAATATTAATTCATTTCAAATAACAATAATAACATAATTACATGTTAATCACTTTTTCAAAATTAAAAATAAGTGTTTTCCAAAACAAAACACAATTAGTCAGGAGAGTATCATTATTTTACATATTCCTGCAGAGCTCTTTAATGTCAGAATTAATAGGAGGCAGCTAGAAGTTTCTGATTCTGCATTCAGCGTGTAGTTTTTGTTGCAATGTATGGAGAAAATCTGGCCTCACCCAAGGATGAAAATAGTTTCAACCTAGCAGATATTCTGAAAGGATCTCAGGGAGTCTGAAGGGTTCTTCAACCATACTTTGAAAACTTCTGGATTAGATGGACTCTGAGCTTTCTCTCACCTCTGGAGCTAGAGTCTATGACCCTAGGACCTAGTTGATATGTCTGGCAATTGCTCTCTGGACCCCAACTGACCAAAGGGGGAATAATCTCTGGTTAGATCACAGGACTGTCTCTTCAGCCTTCAACTCTCCCCTTGCTCTTAACTTTTCTTAGTCAAATCCCTTCCCTGCAGCTGGAAAAAGGACTGATAAGTCTGGATGGGGAGGATCTAGTGTAAGCAGAAAGAAGAGAAGGGGCAATCTGTCATTTTCCGCTGGCTTCTCCTGTCCCTGAGGAGAGGTTAATGGAAGAGATAGTGAGAAAATCCAGGAATCACAATCTACTTCTGCCATAGGTGTCTTTCCTAAGTATATACCCCTCCCTCCACAGCTAGCAGCTGCTGTCCATCTGAAGTGCTCCCTCTCAGGCCAAACAACTCCATTTCCATTTGTCTGAGCCCTGATTGAATCCCAGCCCCACTGTTAGCATCTTTGCCCCCTCATTGTCTTCCCAAAACCCCACACTCTTTGGGGTTCTAAACACAGGATTCATGGGTGTGAGAACAGAAAATCAGTGCAAAAAGAGAAGCTCTACTTGTAGGTCTGTCCTTCTACTGACCCAGGCAGGAGCTTGAGGTCAGTCTCAGGGCTTATGGAGGCACAGCCAAGATGGCAGACCAGCAGGAAGCCAGACAGACAAGCTTCCCTCCACAAAACTCCTCCAAAAAGATCTAGAAAAAGAAGCATACTGAATCCTGATGGGGAAATTCAGAACAAGTTCCATTGAGTCATTTGTCCAGTTCAGGTTAGCACATAGAGACAGACAGAGAGGCCTATGGATACTAGGGATGGGATTGGACCAGAACACTCCAATGTCCAGGAGGAGGATGAGCCAGGTCAAGAAGATGTCTTATATCCACACCAAGCATGTGAGACCAGGACCAGGGCACTGTAGTGAATACAAGTGCCAACTGATAGCTTTGTTGCCAGTTTGCCCAGTTCTGGGTCATAGATCCAGGGCAGATTGAGAAATGGTCCTGCCCATGAGGTTGGTGTCCCAACGTAGGGAGGCCCAAGATGGTGTCCTGGCCCACTTAGAAAGAAGAAGTTCAGAAGGATCAGTATTGTGACTCAGACTCCAGGAATAGAGCAGGTCTCACTTCTACCATCTAGCCCAGCCTGAAGAGGAATAGGCAGGGCATGGATACCAGACCAAAAGGCAGCCCACAGTTCTGTCCCTATGAACCAACAAAGCCTTCCAGGTGGCTGATTGTGGCAGAGTCCAGCAGCATTCCACTGTTGCTCAGGCTGAAACTCAGGTCAGGAACTTAGATCAGGGAGGCAGCAAGTGCACTTGCCCTGGATCAGACTATGTGTCAGCCCTGCAGCCTTAAAGGTCCTCAACCTGTTCCTGAGATCCTGGAATCACAGAGCACTCAATACTCACTAAAGCAGTAAGTAATAGGATCAGTCCAGACTTTCCAGAAGTGCTGCTGAGTTCAGCCCTAACAACAAGACTGAAGGCGAGAAATCAGTTAAAAGAATGAGTAATGAAAAATGAACCCAAATATAAAGGGTTATTTTGTTATCAGGGAAGCTCAAAACACAATTGGAGAAGACAAGAATGATCCCAAAACATCTATAAACAATGCCTCATTAAAAAAAAAACACAGGTTGGGCACAAGCTCAATTAGAATTCCTGGAAGAGATGATCCAAGAGTTAAAACCTGTTTCTAGAAATGTAATGAGAGTACTTGAGGAAAATAATTGGAAAAGAAATGAAAGCTATGCCAGAAAAAAATTAGAAAAGGAATCAACAGCTGGCAAGAAGTAAAAAACTTTCCCAAGCAATAAATTCCCTGAAAATTAGAAAGGACCAAGTAGAAGATAATGACACCATTGGACAATAAGGAATACTAAAACCAAGGCAAAAGATGGAAAAAAGAAGAAAATTTAAAATATTCAATATTAAAAATGGATCTAGATCAGATTAAGATGGTATAATTTAATAAATATTGGAATACCTGACAGCTATGTCACCCTAACATGCCTAGAAATGTTGAAAAATATTGTCCATATCTCTTAAACTAGAGTTCAAAATGAAAACAGAAAGAATCTATCAATCACTTCCTAAAAGAAACCTCAAATTACAAACTCCCTGGAACATAATAATACAAATCCAGGCCAAGTCAAAACAACAGCAACTGCAAAAAAAAAGCAACAGCACCCAAAAAGAAAGAGTTCTGGTACCAAGCTAATACACTCAGGCTCCCACAACCATCCTCTCAGTCCCCCAGGCTGGCAATCTTGGTGTTACCTGGACTCCTCACTCTCACTCACTCACCCCCCCCATGTTCCTGTACCCAATCTTCTGTCATGGCTTGTCGATTTTACGCTCATAGTATCTCTCTCACACCCCTTCCTCTCCTCTGACACTGCCACCACCCTGCTGCAGGCACTCATCTCCTCATTCCTGTTCTACTGAAAGAGTCTGCTGGTTGCCTCAGGTCTCTCTTTGCTTTGTCATTTTCTCAGCTGATTGTGATCTTCCTAAAGTATAGGTCCCACCGTGCCCAACCCCTAATCAATATACTCTGGTAGCGCCCCATCACCTCCAGGAGCAAATACACAATACTTTGGCATTCAATGCCCTCTCTTCTCACCTTTCCATTATTCTTACACATTACAACCCTCTCTGCCCGCCCCCTCCAGACACGGATCCCCACTCTCCCTCGACCTACATATTCGGAATCCTCTGGCCTGTCCTCATACTCCATCTCTGGATTTGGGGCATTTTCCCTGCCTGAGTTAGCTCCATTCCTGCAATACTCTCCTTCCTCACCTCTGCCTCCTGGCTTCCCTCACCTAAAATCCCAGCTCCTACAGGAAGCTTTTTTCATTAACCTTTAATTCAAGTTCCTGCCCTCTGTTCATTTTTCCCAATTCAGGCTTTATATAGAATGTTTGCACGTAATTGTTTGCATGTTAGCTCTCCATTAGACTGTCAGCAAGAGCTGTTTTTGCCTTTCTTTGTATCCTTAGCACTTAGCACGGTGCCTTAACAAATGCATCTTCGCTGACTGAGCACCTTCTACCTCCTGCCTTGCCGGTCCCTGAACGTAAAAGAGAAGGGGCCTCTGCTCCAAACACGCGACTTCCCCCTGCCTTCCAGACTTCTACCTCCTACTGCCGCTGCCTGACCCCTGGCTCCAGTGAGAAAAGTGAGAATATCCTCTGACTGTGATCGTTCCTGCTCCATCCCCTTCTGGGCACATCCTCAGAGGCTGCTGAGGGCTAGTGGAACAACTTTCGGAACAAGGCAAATTTCACCTCCTGCTGCTTTAATCCTTCCTGACCTGGGGCTAGCGGGAAGGAAGGGGAGGGAAAGAAAGAGGACAGAATGAGAAGGAGAGACAGGGGAAGGGGGGAAGGAAAAGAAGGAAAGGAAAAAAGGTATCGGTGGTGGAAGCGAACGAGGCGGTGATGGTTGCAAAACTGGAAGAACGTGAGCCAGAGCAGAGGAAGGGAAGCGCCGAGTCCAGTAGGCGGCGAAAGGGAGAAGGAGCTGCGGCCGGGGTGAGCGGGAGCATGAGCTGTTTGTGATCACCTCCCTCTCCCTCCCCGTTACTCTTCCAGCTCGCCTTCCTGCTCCTCTTGGGGGGACCTGACTGGAGACCCTTCCCCCCTCAGAATGTTCAGCACTAACCACTCCCAGACTGGAGAGGAACTTCTGCCTCCTTCCAGGGTAAGATGTGAGATTGAAGTGGAGAGCGAGCCTCCCCCCCAAATCGAGGACAAGATTCCCGCCTCGGTTCCCATCCCCGCAGCCAGAATGAATCTCTCCTTCTCGTTCCTCTCGTTCTCCTCCCGTCTGGTAGATCTGGACAAGCTTAACCTCCTCCCCGCCCCTCCTCCCACCTCTTTCTCCTGACCCCCACCCAAGACAGCCAACTTTTAGGGACTCCTAGTGTCTAGAAAGCGATCACCAGAGACTGAAGCATGTTTAGCCTTTGGAAACAGGAACTGAGGATGGGGGGTGGTGACGGCTGCTAGGAAACTTTGGAAAGGCGTGGATCTTGAAGATGCAGCCCTGGAGGTTTAGAGGGGATAAAGAAAAGAGTGTGGAAGGGAAGGGGTGGATGTAGGAACTGGGAGGCGTCAGGCTGCTATGTCGCTTTGCATTTTATCCACTCGATTTTTCTTCACTTTCCTCTCCCCCCACCAGTAATTCTAGTTATTTCCTACCTTAGGACCCGATTTTCTTTTCCCAGAGTCATTCAAAATCCCAATCAATCTTAGTGTTGTATTCTGACTCCAACTCCCTTTTCCTTCCCAAATAGAGGTATTAACTCTTCAAAAGAATTTCATGATTTCCCCTTGCTTCCTCGTTTAATAGTCACCTGTTAACTTTTACCTTTTTGATAAGTGTCTTAAGTGTCACAGATTACCTGAAGATGAAAAAGACTTTCCAAAGAAATCGGCCCTAGAGGCCAACTCCTCCTGGAACATTCCCAATCCTTCTATCTTTCAGCCAGGATTGCCTCTGTTGGCTTCCCCTCCCAAACTACAGTTAAAGTGGGTTGGGGGGTTGGGGCTAGACACAGGGACAGGGATCACAGTTTCTGACCAAGGACTCCTCCCTTGGCCCTCCTGTGATGCTTCAGCCAACAAAGAGGATGATGAGGATGATGAAGAAGAGGAGAAGGAGAAGGTGATGACTTGGGGACTTCCCTCAGGCTGAAGCCAGCTAGGAACACCTCAGTACTACCCCCTTCTCCAAGTTCTTTTCTTTCTCATCCTCTCAGTAAAATTTGTTCTCAGCAAAACAACTCAGCTATGAAAGTCTTTCAAATGCTGCTATTCTCTAAGAGCTCCTCCCTGACATACTACTGGAAGTTGTGGGGTTGACTGGGGGGATTTGAGGTGGGGCCTCTACACCCCAACAATCTTCTCCCTTCCCAGAAAGGGGGAGCAACCCCTCCTGCCACCTCCTCCAGCTGCAGGCTTGACTCACCAAAGGCAACTCCTAGCTGGGTCTGCTAGGGGCACTAATGGCTGAAGAAGGGGTCTAATGGTCATTTCTCCTTCCTTATCCTTCCTGACCTCTCTGCAGCCTCTGACACTATCTGGAATGCTCTTCTCCTTGAAACTCCCTTCTCTCTAAATTTTTCTGATGCTACTGTGTCCCAGGGCTCCTCCTAAGTATCAGATGGGTTCTTTCCAGTCTTCTTTGCTTTATCTTTATCCAGGTCACACCAATTAAAAGTGGGTCTTCACAGGGCTCTGCCCTCTACCGTCTTCTTTTCTGCCTCTACATTATTTCACTTGGTGATCTCAGTCTCTTCCTATAAACTGAATTATCATCTCTATGCTGCTGATTCTCAAATCTACTTATCTAGCCCCAACCTTTTTACTGACCTTCAGTCTCACATCTCCAACTACCATTGGACATCTTGAATGGGATACCCCACAGATAGCTTAAACTCAGCATGTCATGAAAATAAACTTATTAACTCCCACTTTAAAAAATTTCACTATTACTAATGAGAGCACCACAATCCTCCCAGTAGTTCAGGCTTGCAAAGTAGGTGTTATATTTAACTCCTCACTGTCCCATCCTCACCTCCCCACCATAAAATTTGTTGTCAATGCCTGTTGATTTTACCTTCATAAAATCTCTCAAATATATGCTTTTCTCTCCTTTGAAACTGCTATCCTCCTATTGCATGCCCCCATAAACTCTTTCCTTGACCACTGCAATAATTCATGTTGCTGAATAGTCTCCCTGCTTTTGGTCCATCTTATACTCAGCTGTCAATCTGAATTTCCTAAAGCACAGATCTGACCATGTCCTTCCTTGGTCAATAAATTCCAGGGGCTCCCTCTCACCTCCAAAATCCAAAACATAATCCTTCATTTGGCATTCAAAGGTCAACCTTTGAGCCAACCAACCTCCCTTACTCTACATTTCCAGTCTTCTTACTCATTATACCCCTCTTCCCAGTCCCTACCATGTCCTCTGGGCTCCAGTGACAATGGCATGTTCCTTAACACAAAGCATTCAACCTCCTGATGGTGCATGTTCACTGGCTCTCCCTCATGCTTTGAACAGTATCTCTCTTCATCACAGCTTCTCTTCATCTCTCTTCATCTCCTGGCTTCCCTTCAGGTTTCACTTAACATACCACCTTCTACATGAAGCCTTTTCCATTCTCCCTTAATTCTAGTTTCTTCACTTTGTTGACTATTTTTATTTCTCCTGTATGTAACATGGGTGTTTGCATAAGGTCTCATCCTTTAGACTATGACCTCCTTGAGTGCAGGGACAGTATTTGTCTTTCTTTGTATCCTCAGTGATGGGGGTAGCAAATGTTAGCAACAATTGTATTGTTAGTTGATGGGGATAACAATGTTAGCAACAACTGTGTTGTTAGCAACACTAGTGTCAGCAACAGTTGCTAGACAAGGAAGAACCTCTGTTGCCCAAGATAAATAGGTTTTAATCAGTGAATGCATTACCTACTCATGATGTTAGCCACTAAATCACAGAAGGGACTTTCCCTAATTAGGCACCTGCACAGTAATAGTAGGTGAACCTATGATGTAGACAGGCTTATTATAATATCATTATCATACATTCATGCCCCGCAGTTGGCTTTTCTGTATGCTTTAAAGGTGACTGCACATATAGTTCTCTGTTGCCTTTTTGAATGTTTTTGTTACCAGGAGACTGTGGGTTGAACTAGAGCCAGGATATTTGGTGGTACTTTCTGTTCTATAATAATCCCCATTTTGTTGGGGCAGCTAGTTAGCACCGTGGATAGAGCTTAGACCTTTGAGTCAGGAGGACTTGAGTTCAAATCTGGCCTCAGACATTTGACACTTACTAGCTGTGTGACCCTGGGCAAGTCACTTAACTCCTATTGCCTCACCAAAAAAACCCAAAATGTTTTGTTTTGTTAAGCTGCTGGTTCCTCTAAGTAGCCTAGCCCACTGGAGAGCATAATCCTCAATAAATGCCTATGCTTGGGTTGGAGATGATCTGAGTCTGTGAATTCTTTTGCACTCAACCTGGGGCAAAGTCTCTGATTCTGACCCTCTCCAATTCAAAGTAAACCTTTCAACTCCTTTAGGCCCAGGTCACTCAAGTTCCTAGGAAAACTTGATGGGACTGCTTGGGTCCTAGCACCTGTGGGCCTCTGTGCCTGGCAAATCCCCTCTAAGGAAGGATGCTCTGTTTGGGAACTTTGTGCTGAGTTCCCTGAACTCAAGAGTGTCTCCCTCCTCATGGGATGCTGTGAAACAAGGAGAGTGGCTATAGAGAGGGTCCCTCAGGCTTATGGCTTCAGTCCCCTTCCATCCCACAGGACTTACCACTAGGCAGTCTCCTGCAAAAATTGGAACAAATTTGGCTTACAAGACTAAGAAATATAAAGAGAGAGAGGGAGATACCTCATCTTTGTCTGTAACAGAGCCTGACCTCAATATAAGCTAGATCAGTGCTTCTTAAAACTATGGTCATGACTCCATGTGGGGTCCCATAACTGAATGTGGGGGTTGTGAAAAAAACTGGACAGTAGTAAAAGGTTTCTGAATGTGCAAGGACAAAAAATTAATTCAAAATCAAGCACATAATGAATATGAAGGGGGGTTTTTTGGCAGCGTTTGCCTGTGTTGCATCGCACAACTTCACTGCAGCCTTGGTTCTCAACACACAATATGTCCACTTTGCACTGTGCATGCTATCACACCATGAAATGCCAACAAAGCCTACCAGAAACACTTCAGCTCAGATTCGAGACTATATATGTTATGAATTTCAGTATTTTTATTGTACATATAACATTTTCTGCTCTTGCAGACACATAACAGTTTAATTGTGGAAAATAAAGACTTTTAATATTTTCCTACCATCATTCCTCAGCATGTAAGTATCAAATTAGTATATCTTTGGATTCTATTTGTATTAGAACACTTGATTTTAAAAATTGCTCGTATCTCCTTCTTTTACAGAAACATAAGTGTTTAATTGTAGCAAGTAAAGACAAAAGCCCTTTAATAATATTTCTCCAACATCACCACTGTATGTGCATGTAAGTGTGAACATCAGTTTTTAAAATCAAGCACAAACAAATGCAATTTCATAAATTAAGGCCAGTATTTATTTGAAAAATTATTAGCAATATTTATTTATATTTTAAGAAAAAAATATTTTTCAGTTACGGACAAGTGGATAAATATAGATAAAAATACTGATGAGAATGTAACAGAGTCTTTGCTACCAGGTTGTAGTATACCTAAATTGACAAGAAAAAGAAAATATGTTGAATCATGTGGCTCTCAGGAAGGTGAAGTTTGAACACATTATTGAAATTGAAAGATGAAGTTGTCATATTTTTGACTGAGCTGAAATCCAATTTTGTTCATTTTTTTCATAATGACTCATGGCTTTCAAAACTGTTATTTGCTGAACATTTTCAAAAACTCAATGATTTAAACATATTGCTTCAAGGAAAAAAATTGTAACATTTATATTAAGAGATAAAATTGAAAGTTTTACTAAAAAAGTTAACATATGGAAAAATAGGGTACAAAATAGTTCTTTAGAAATGTTTTTAGCTACAGGGGCAGCTAGGTGGCAAAGTGGATAGAGCACCGGCCCTGGATTCAGGACTCCCTGAGTTCAAATCTGGCTTCAGATACATAATACTTACTAGCTGTGTGACCCTGGGTAAGTCATTTAAC